TCCCAGCACGGCGCAGTCACGCCTATGCGCACTGCTCTCAAGCAGAAACTGACTGTCTGCCAGAGAAGGGAGGGCCCGTGCGCACAGCCGCATTTACACAGACCAGGGAGGGAAAGCGCCGCAGTCAGGCATGCGCACTGCCCTGTGCTCTCAAGCAGAAGACTGTCTGCCATAGAAGGGAGGGCCGTGGGAGGGCCACATTACACAGAGAGCAGGGAGGGCTGTTGGAGGGCCGTATTAAACCGACCCCCGGGCCGTAAATGGCCCGCGGGCGCTGGACTTTGGACAATGCCTGCCCTAGATGCTGTACCTTTACCCCAGGAGAACGCGGGTCCTCCAGCCACCCCACACTGTTACTACTGTACCCCCTAAAAATCAATGCTAGCCCACAGCAGTACCCCTCTACCCTACACTGGTACTGCTGAACCCAACCAGCCACATTCACTCCTGGGTATCAAGTCACCCAGTACTTGTACTACTGTGTACACACACACACACCCCATCCCCAAAATGGCTTGGGATTTGGATTTTACTGCCCCTACCCCTATCCTGGCACCATAGGACGGCTGGTGTAGGTGAGATTGGGTGGTGTATTGAGCGAGGAAGTTGTCGCTGGACTGGAGATGGGGCTGTCCACTATCAAAAGTGGCAGGATTTGAAGACCCTGGCTTCCCCACGAGCACTCATCCATGGCCACCCGGGCTCCCTCTCTAGCAGTTGCTTTCATGCTGACAGTGCTGGTTGCTCGGGAGGCCTCCGCTCCAAGGATTCTCAGGACCGAGGGAGATCTCTCTGTGACAGGAGGGCTGGGAGATGAGCCTGCATTGTCCTCTGGGGAGTCGGGCTCTTAGGGATGCACCAGTGTGTGGGGGAAGTTCATTGTGTGCATCGGAAAGCTCTGCACACCAGGAGGCATGGAGGTGATTTCGGGTGGTCCCAAGACAGAGCTCTGCTCCATGGGGCAGGAGAGCGGGGCCAGCCAAGGATAAGGGAATGAGACTGCAAAGCAAGTTGGGAGGACAGGGAGCCCTGCGTGGCTGAGGGTCCTAAAGCAGTTGCCTGTATGCTGCCACTGGCCCTGCTGGCGAGCACATCAGTGTGGGAAGGGAGCACAGGCCCCACTCAGGAATCCTCCGCCAGGGCCTTGTACCGGGCACAGCCAGCCAGTGAAAGCTAGCTGAACTAGTCCAAGCTGCGAGTAGAGTGCAGGTGGCGGCCACTAGTTCGGGGGAGTACAGAGACCTGTCAGTGAACGGAATGACAAATACCCAGGCGCCAGGACACAATTTCTGGTGCCGTGGCAACCTGGTGCCTGGAATTTGCCTGAAATTTGTCAAGCTCTGTAATGATAGATCCAAATTCTGAGACCGCATGATTCCTACACACTTGCATGGGAGACACATCACATTTTGCCCAGTGGACAAATAAAGAGGACATTAGTGCAAAGGAAGAGTCCAAGGAGGAGACATCAGGGGCAGGGAGACTGGAAATGATATCACTGTAGAGCAAATTTGAAGGTAAGTGGGACAGACGTGCCTTTTTATCAATTATTTAAAGTCCATTGGAAACCCATTTAAAAGGAAACAAATGCAGCACACTACTTGCCTTCTCCTTGTTGCTGCCCCTCTTCCAGGTTAAATGAGTTGCAGCCTGGCTCAGGAGTTGGCACACAGACATCATGGCTCTGCCACTGTATTCCTGTGGACTCCAGATGGTAAAGCCATCAGCTAGACTGCCATACTTGAGTGATTATGTGATGTGTCTGCACTGCTGAACTCAACTTACATGATACTGTTGTGTAGAGAACTGGGAGGAGGTCTGATGAAGTACTGTGTAGCACATTACTGCTGTGTACATAAGGCAGCTTACTGGAAAAGTATGACCCTCGTATACAGTGGTCACAAAGTGCTGTTTTGGTGTAATTTCATCTTTTTCACTGAAGGAATGTAGCTTAAAGTGTTACTGAACCCAGGACCCTGCATTCACTATATCCGGTCTCCCACAGTGCACAGAACATGGAAATGCAGTTATTTTATTTCAGCAGTTAGAGCAGTCTTGTGACTTCTATCAGTGTCCAGCCGAGCACTGGTTAAAGCTTGTAGGAAGAGTTTTCATTCTCCCCTGTGAGGCTGCAGGACCCCAGACCCTCTGTCTGGATAGTGCTGATTTGGCCCTGTGCTGATCACATGGACTCTCCCAAGAAATAAAAACCTCTCTAGCAATACATACCAAACTGAGCATGTGCAGAGTGACTCCACAGATATGTCTTATCAGGAGATAAGATGGGGACACTGGAAGAAGGGGAAGATCAGAGAAGACAGGATCAAACAGCTTTTTTAAAACAATGCAGAGGTTAATCCACAGTGGTTCCTCAGCGAGTATAACAAGCATGCTTTACTGCATATACAGACTGATTTTACTGTCGTGGGTTTAGTAACACTTTAAATGCCTTCTCACTCCTCACATCAGCAGAAAACCATGAAATCAGTATACACAGGACATCCTTGTTTCACATAAGGATCATAATTCCATGCGAGGGAATTATTTTATTTAAATAAAAGTATTGCACTTACATAGGTTAAAATCTGCTGCAGCGCTGCAAGATTAGTAATACTGTACCTGTTACCTTGCTTTATTTCTTTGCATGGCATTCTGATCATATGTGGAGCTAGGATGTCCTCTGTATATAATTTCATGGCTCTTTGCTGATGTGAGGAGTGTGGAGAGGTTTAAGCTATATTTCATCAATGAAAAAAAAAATTAAACCATTAAAGCCTTTTTGACTACTCCATACAGGAGGGTCATATCTCTGGTCTCTGTCTACAGAATACATTTTAACTGGCACCAGATGGCTTGTTTACATGTTCTGTGTTCACCAGCAATTCTTTTCAGGCTGTGTGAATGTTATGCAATGTTTAGCTTTATTATTGAATTTCACATTACACATTATTTGTGTTTTGTTAGCACATTATCACATTTGTGTCATTGTGCTCTAAATTTTGTCATGCTTATTACCTAATTTTGGGATTACAGAATCTTCAGTTTTGCATTTTGGATCAAAAGTTGTTTTTTTTTTTTTTTTTTTTTTTTCCTTCAGTTGCTTTAAGATTGAGCGCCACACTTTTGTGTTTACAGTGTATTTATCTTCTATCAGGATATTGTGTTGGCAGCTTTGCTTTAGTTTCATGATCTAAGCACAGACTACATTTACAAAAAAAGAACCAGGAAGAGACTTCCGGCTCCCAATGAAATAGAAAACAAAAGACAGTAGTGTGTGGGATGGGATCTACTGCAGGTGAGAAGAGGGCAATTAATTTACTGCTGCATTAACAAGCACCAACAGTGAGGGACACATGGGGAAATTTTCTTGGGGCAGTGCAAGGTTTGCTTTCAGGAAAGTTATGTTTTTACAAACCCCTCTGTTAGTGTCTAGTAATCCATTCCAGTAGGACTGTTTACATAACTTAAAATTAGCCTTGGAATGTGGGACCACTTTGAAAAACTTCTCTTGCTATGAAATGATCAAATATGATCTGGGTTAACCACTACTGCTGCATATAGTCAACATTCCTAAAACTTTGATCCATCGGATTCATGGACTGTTCTTTGGAAGGGGCCAGGATGAGCAGCAAAACAAAATTGCTTTTTATGAAGGCTGAGCAAGGAAAAATGGGGGAAGGAGGGTGCCAGAACCCACCTCCTGGAGGAAGAGCTACTCGCTGATTTTCTGATTTTTAAAAAAAAATTTCTGAGGGGGATTTAACCCAACATAATCCATTCAAGTGGAGTTAATTTTGGTTGGCCTTTTTTGTAAGCTACAATGTAATGCTTGACATCTCTGTTCTTTTAATACTTCTTTACCACTGCTATTCCTAAGGTAAAAATCATGTTTTGGTTTGTAATAAAAAAAAAATTGAAATAAATGCTAATAATATCGTCAGCGCATATTTATAAGGTCAGAGGTCAACTTGACCCTTTATATTCATCATTAGAAAATCGGTGATCAGTAGAGACATAGTAATGACAGCATTTAAACCATTTTTTTTACTTATTTGATTTCATAGGTAGATAATGTCCTTTTTTTTGTAACTTCTGGGTGTTGATGCCTAGTCTTCCAACCATATAGACTAAAGTCACTAGGTGTTGTCTCTACAGGTCATGAGCCACTGCTTATAATTATCTATGTAGCTCCAAGGAGAAGGGCCCTCCTAACCCTCTTGTATTGAACTGTATCGTTGCTGTATTGTCTCCTGTTATATTGTAAAGTGCTGAGCAAACTGTTGGCACTATATAAATCCTGTATAATAATAATAATAATAATGGGCAGCACAGTGGCTAAATGGTTAGCACTTCCGCATGGCAGTACTAGGGTAGTTGGTTGGAATCCCAACCACGGCACCACCTGCCTGGAGTTTGCATGTTCTCCCTGTGCCTGCGTGGGTTTCCTCCAGGTACTCCAGTTTCCTCCCACCTCCAAAGACTTGCTGGTAGGTGAATTGGATCCTGTCTAAATTTGCCTTAGTATGTGTATGTATGAATGTGAGTTAGGGACCTTAGATTGTACACTCCTTGAGGGTTAGGGACTGATGTGAATGTACAATATATATGTAAAGCGCTGCGTAAATTGACGGCATTTTATATAAGTACCTGAAATAAATAAATAAGCCATTCTCAACCAGGTTATCTCCAGATATTGCTAGGGGTCCATGAGCTGTGGTTGATTTGACCGTTTGATGGTGCCTGCATAGTTCCAGGGCCAACACCACTTGGCATAGCTTGTTGTTTGACACTAGTAATCTTTATAGTGGTTTGTAAGAGGGACATTTTCCCCACTGACAATGAATTGGCAAGAATATCGGTTCATCAGGACCTGAAAATGATTTCAAGGGTTTCTTGAAAAAGTTGAAAGGTTGAGAAAAGTTGGTCTGTTCTGTTAAAAGCTTTTTTTTTTTCCACTCTGTTTGCATTATAACTTGGTATTTGTTGTGCTTGTCTTCCAGATACAATGTTCCTGTAAAACAAGGCCTGGACACTATGCACCTAGCTGTTGTGGCTTGTGGTGGTAGACTGGAAGAGACGATTACAATGCTGAAATCTGCACTTCTTTTTAGTAGAAAACCTCTTCAGTTTCACATCTTTGCTGAGGATCAGTTGCACAGTGACTTTACCACAATTGTAAGTGATCATCCCTAATGGAAAATCTGAGTATATATTGATCAATGTAGCAATGCAGTGCATAACAGGAGCAGTGCTACTTTCGTGGAGACATATTTTCTGTAAGAAATTAATTCATTACTTCTACCCCCATGCTCAAAAGTAGCAGTGCACCCATATCTATCATAATAGCTGTCAAAAATGACAATCTGGCTGTCAAGGACTGTGGCAAGAAGGGTCACAAGTCACAATTATGATGATTCTTTTAAGTAGTAGTGATAAGTTAGAACCTTCATCAGCCTTTCGTTGCTGTATATGTCCTTATTTTGTCAATGTTTTTTATTTTTCACTCATTGTTTATATTATCGGCATCTCATTTCCTGTTTAATTATTAACCATAGACATTAACTTCAAGAACATACAGCTATGTTAAAGGATAAGTTCACCTTTGGAACATGTTACACCCCATATTTAGGGTGGAACATGTTCAACCTCCTGCAAACAGGAGTTTACTGAATGTCTGAAGGATCCAGTCATTGAACCCATGATCTGCTGATCGCGGTTGCAATGCCTTACAGAGTGCAGATTATAAAAAATTAAATATGCACATTTTTTTTTTTTTTTTTACCTTCAAAGAGATGTGCATTTATTATTATTTTCTTTTGTAAAAGGTGAACTTATCCTTTAATTTGGGTCTGTCTAAATTTGCCCTAGTATGTAGCATGTGAAGTTGTAAGTTTCTTGAGCACAGGGAACTGATTTGATGGACTGTATGTAAAGTGCAGCATAAATGATCAGAAGTGAGGGAAAGTCATTCCACCTCCCATCTATTCCCCTCAATGGGGGACACAGGCAACTATAAAAACTCCAATAAATAATAGATTAAGAGGTTTAGAACATCACATTTATTTCTCTGTGTCCCTATGAGGGAGACTCTCCTTCAGCTACTGGAAAGAACAAGAAAAGAAAGCTCTGCTAAGAGGACACTTATGGCATTTAAAATTTGACATTCTAAATAATTCTAAATAATCCCCACTCTAGATAAAATGTTTCTCTGGCTGGATGTGGACTTGTAAAGTAATTACAATTAACTTATACTGTGAAAGGTGTTTTTATGTTAAATTTCAACACACCGTCCTGAATAGTAGTGTAGCACTACCCTATGGGGGCCACTAATGGATGTCTGTCCCCGGTAGTTGCCCTGTCAACCCCTTTGAGACACTAGGCTCAGACATTTTTAATGCAAACACCAATAATTTGACGCCTGAGGAAAGTGACACAGTTTAAGATTCTCAAAGTACTCTGCTGTAGTCAATAGATAGACATGTGGAGGAGTGAACAGTTTATACATAGAATAACCTACAACACACATTTGGTAATAAGAGACTAACTTGGCATCAATAACACCATAAAAGAGTTGGCGTTAAGCTAAAAAATAAATGTTGCTATGTGGCTTCAACACCTACAGGTATAATGTATAGGTGCACTCAAACTGTAGTGTCGCAACTGGCAAAGGGGGAGAGACTTAGAAGCAGATCAGCTCCCTCCGAACCACTGAAACACTAGGAAATGTTCCTATAATGTACCCTTGCTCAAATACAGCCTTGCTAAGGTAAATGTCTTGGTTATTTGGTCATGTTACATGAACAGTCCAAGTTCCAGATTTTAAACTGGAAAGATATCTTCGCTAGCTCAGTAGGGCCCAAAGTGATGGTGACTAGTTCTGCAATGTTTAGACAGCGGAGATAGTTGTAATGGTGGTTCATTTATGGTTGTTAAGATAAGGTGTCTGCACACAATGTCCCTAGTTGGTGGTGTGACAGAACAAGTGTATGGGCATCTGCCCGTTCACCAGTCCCAGACTGAAGGCATCATCTGCAAGAAAAGGATAGTAATTCTTATGTAAAGTGTGCTACATATATACCCGTGCATAATTGAAAATGTTATACAAATAATGCCCACCACTAATTCCATTATATACTCTTACCCTCATAGGGTAAAAATGTGTATTTCACTCTCTTTACTATGAATGACATCCAAATATACTTGTGACCATGCTCCATCCACCACCAGTGTCCAAAAACAAATCAGTGTTTTCGATCCCTTCCCTTTAGGCATGGACCTTACCCTGCTTGTCTTGTAAATTGCCTTTCCGTAATCAATAGTCAACATGCTCAGAAATCCATTATCTCCTCCCTGATTCTTCATATACTCTGTGATCATAGAAAATATAACCATACACACCTGTAGTGCAGCAGTATTTGAAAGATCAATTTAATGGTAAAAATTGCGCTTACATGAATCTGAAGTGCAAACAGCCTATTCCAACCTATTCCACAATGGCCGCCATGGTACTTCCAGTTGCGTCTAACATCACGTCCGTCTGACGCATTTCGTCATTCAATCGATTTGCTCATAGGCAGTGGGCGTCGGACGCCACCAAACTCGACTTTATACAGAGATCCCGCCCTTATCCTGCAGCCATAATCTCCGTCGTACTTGTTGGATAAACAATCTAAATGTGGTGATATCCTCATATCCCAAGACACTGTGCTATTTTACTCTGTACACCAATATAACTAAAAGCGGTACTGATATTACAAGGAAAAATTACCAAACATCAAACGGATCATTACAGACATGGTCATATGAAAGATCATCTGCCCCCTGGTGTTAACAAAGCAGATCTAATTAACATAAATATTATCCCGGAAATACGGACCCTATATATGAATAAAACATGTATCAATATCTATATCATCCCTAAAAAGTTGTTATAATATGCAAGAAATAATAATGCAAAAGAAAAATGTATTTAAAAAATGTATATAAATATAAAAATGGGTAGGTATGATTGGTATGTGCCAATCAATATCTGCCCACACATGGCCCAATTGCAGCCTCAAAAATGGTACCCTAAAAATTGGAAATAAAACCATTTAGATCCTATTCTGTATTCAATCCCTTAGGGTACATACTGTCCACCTCATAAATCCAAAAAGTCTTTCAGAAATCTCCCTTGTGCAGTTATTACCTATCCAATGTACTCCAACTTTATGAATGCCACAAAACTTCAACAATGAGGGATCACAACCATGTGCGTCTCTGAAGTGTTTAGACAGGCTATGCTCCTTCTTTCCCTTTCTTTGATATTAGTGACATGTCCCCTTATTTGTAACTTCCTTGTGGTGCGCCCAACATATTGGAATCCACAAGGGCATTCCAGCAGGTAGGTAACAAAATTGGAGTGGCATGAGATATATTTCTTTATAGTATATGCCTTGTGTCACGTTTGACAAGAAGGTTTCAATTTTTTTAATACTAACGTTAGTGATCTTATATTTGATATGGTACGTTTACTACAACGGAAGAAACCTTGCAAATCAAACATGGTACTTTTTGACTGATCTAGGAGGAGAAACAACATTTCTTACTAAGTAGATTGGAGGATTTTCTGTATGCAAATCTGGGTTTTCTAGGGACTAGAGGTCCCAAGATCTTATCCTTTCTAATAATGGGCCAATGTTTGCCAATAATTCGTTCGACTTCCTTTTTGTCAATTAAAAAAGTCTGAAATGAATGCAAACTCAAAACCTGTGTTTGACTGTTTTTAATTTCTTTCATCCCCCTGACATAGTTCTGACTTCATATCTAATTTTTTCTGGTTTAATGGGATCATAGCCTTCATCTATAAATCTCTTCTTAATGATTTTCGATTGTGCAATATAATCTTTTAACTTTGAGAAATTCCTCAAGATTCTAACAAACACTATTTATTCCCAATGTATATTGATGCAAAATGCCAAGTTTACACTCACTTTTAAGCAGCAGTATACAGGCACTCACACCACATGCTATGGGTGTACTCTGCATGAAATTGGGTATACCAAGATGGCGTCCGCCAGAACTACGTCACCGCGCATCTACGTGTTACATCACGCTCCACACGTGACTTCCTCAGGATTCCTTGGCGTTTTGCATCAATATACATTGTTAATAAATAGTGTTACACTATGGAGGATTTTTTTTATTCTTTCATGGCTGCAATGTGATACATATGAGTAAGTTGGCTGTATTGCGGTACCTACCTGTGGAAGGGGAATCTTTGCTGTATGTGAGTCACCATTGATGGAAAGTGTCTCTGGAGATCGTATGGTGTAGAGCTATTACCCGTGAAGGATCCAGGTGTGATCCGAAAGGCGTATTGGCCCATTGGGTTACGTTAAGGAGGTGAGGGGGCATTTTTGCCACTTATGGATATATATCAGCTTGTTTGCACATGCACCGTATCACCTGCATGTCCTGGAGTATTGAAGCACCTCTTGCAAATTTTGCACTTTATTGGACGTTTTTTATAAAAAAATATGTCATTCACTATTTTTGTATTTTTATAAAGTTTTTTTCCACATGTCCATTTGTTGAGAATTGTACAGTTTTTATGTGCTTATTGTTTTTTGGGGTTCAAGCACTTGTCACTTTGTTATAGGATTATCCCGCATTTGGGATTCACTGTGTATGACACTGGGCGTATGTTTATATAATCCCCTTTTCTGGGATTGAGTTTTTTTTCTCTTTTTATATACACTATATAATTGGGTCCAATTTAGGACCAAGTTGGCGGATTCACAAACATTCACAATTTCTGTGGCACATGTTGTCATGCTCTAGATCCCTGCAGGATCTAATCACCATTTTATTTATCGTTTATATGATTATATATTCATATGTTAATGTCACTTATTTTGGAGCTACACCATTTTTTGAAGTATCTTGTGTTTATGCACATATAGGTATAGGATTGGCTGTTAGCAGCTTCTGAAAGTTTATAGGTCCATATAAAGCGCAGGGGGGGATTATTGCTTTAATGGTCACAAGTATATTTGGATTTCATTCACAGTAAAGAGAGTGAATTGCACATTTTCACCCTATGAGGGTAATAGTATTTAGTGGAATTAGTGGTGGACACTATTTGTATAACATTTTTAATTGTCCACGGGTATAAAATGTAACACACTTTACATAAGAATTACTACATTATATTATTAGTTTTTTTGCTTTGGAGATGGGAATCCGCTGATTGGAAGATCAAAGGAGAGTTTTGATCTAGTGAGAAGATAGGATTGGTCAACGATAGTTGTGCGCTGTTTGCATACAAGACTTTTTTACCCAGGGGGGTTTTGGACTGTCAGCTGCACATTGTTTTCTGGCACTTATTGGTGTTCCAAAGAATAGGGATAGTCGATCTAGACTCCACGGGTGCACCTGAAGGGAAGCACAGCGCGTGGTTGGTGTGCCGCATTGGCAGTTCAGCGGTCAGTGTGAGACTTGTGAGCGACTTTTGAGATGAAGAAAGGCCTTGGCTATCTTGGCACTCTCAGGCAGAGGTGGTGTGAGCTCTCTCCTCTGAAGATAGGTCTTTACCTGGCTGATCGCATTGAATTGACATCCCTGAAGTGCAGGACAGTGCTCTGTGTGGAATCTCAGAGTCAAGGGAGCAGGCCCGCCAATTTAAGTTGAATATATAGTCTCTTCCATGAGTCCATTAATCGTCCCCGGGTTATTCCTCACTCATGATGGCATCGCCGCCACCTGGCTAGAGTATTTTACTGGAATATACATTTCCATCTATAATTCTTATTTTTTTTTTAAAACTCATATTGGGTTTCTGAGTCACTGTACTTTGCACATCATAATTGCTATCTGCACCTATATGTTAAGTTAGCCTGAAAATGTTTGCTTAAATTGAAAATGCTTCCTTTTGTCTTTTAGCTAAACAGCTGGGGGAATGCAAAGAAATTTAAATATACTTTGTACCCCATATCTTTTCCACCGGAAAATGCAGCAGAATGGAGAAAACTCTTCAAGCCCTGTGCATCACAAAGACTGTTCCTGCCGGTAATCTCCAGTTAATTTCTGCATTCAAATATAAGTTAAAATGTATCTGAAGCCACAAAATTTTCCCTGAAAGACATAGCAGAAAGTGTGGGGAAATCCTCACTTAGACAGTTATCAACAGAACAGGTTTTCCCATTGGAGGATTTTCCTCACCTCCTGTTCAGTTTCAACTATAAAATATTAGCGACTTGATAATAGTCACAAAGACAAAGGGAGGTTGAATATATTCTGTGGAACACAGATAGCAATATGAACCTGGCAGAAGGTTTACCCTCTCCCCACTCATCAAAGAATGATTAAAAAAAAAAAAAAATTCGGGATATAGATGTACAAATACAGTATAGAAGTAGCTGCCTTTATGGAGATTGTTTCTGAAAAACTGGATAGATGATTGTGCAGTCCTAAAGCAACGGAACTGAGTTAATGTAATGAAGAGAATTCTAAGGAAAGTGATGTTTGAGTTCTAAAATGCAAACAGTGGCTGACTAGCTGTCTCCAAGTGTGGCAGCGATTTGCTATAAAAGTAATACATTGTCAGCTCTGCATTGGGAAGATCTACAACCCTGAATAGTGTGGATGGTATCAGTACAGTATCAGTGATAAGCAAAGATACCATTCAGTATTCATTTTTTAACATTGACAGCTTGATGTAGGTAGCCATAACTCAGAATGTTCATTAGTGTATCAAAGTGTTTTAATGATTTTGTGAACCGTTAAAGAAAAAAGAAAAAACAATCACAATCAAAATGTATACAAGCCCAGTCTGAATTTTTAAGGTTATTTGGTGAGCTGTAACATGAGATTTGCCCTGATTTAATAGAGTTCCTCCTTAGCTGACCATACACTATATGATCTGATTGTATAATTTCCTTTTAGGTGTACCATCTAGTACTATGTAATACCAGGCCCTGCCTTCTTTGATAGAAAATGTATAGATTGTTTAGGTTTGTCCTAAAGGAGATTTTACAGAGAGATTGTATAGTGTATGGCCAGCTTTAGTTACATGTGAATACACGGTCACTGGTAGTGAGAGTAGCAGTTGTTGCCTATAAACTGTTCAAGATTCTACAAATAGTTTACAACAGTGGAAGAATGTTTTTCGAAAGGTAATCTTTCCTCAATTTTCAGACATACTGAATTAACAAATACTTAGCTGACTTCTTAAGAGGCTTGGTGTTTTTTTGTTTTGCCTAGAAAGTGATAACAGACAAATTTTGAGACTTTTTTTCAATAAAACAAAGTAGTATATTACTTTAAAAAAATTATGTAATGGGAAACTCTTTAACATTTTAAAATGAGGAAAGAGAGGTAGACTTTATGGGATAAGTTTAGTAAAAAATAAAAAAATGCACATTTTTTTTTGCAGGTAAAAAAATGTGCATTTATTATTTTTGTGTGTAGGAGCCTGTAAAGCATTGCACCAGCAATCAGATGGTGCCATACAGGTCTCCTGCAGATCTGTCAGTATATCTGCTTGCCCGTATCGGATTTATGAGCAAGCCGATATACTGACAGGAATCAATGAAATACCACAGCGCTCCACAATGCCATGATAGTTCATTGAGGACTACAAGCTGTCAGCTGCTAAGCACAGAGGACTGTGAATGAGTGACGCAGCTGGGCGGAGCCCCACACGGTTATGTTTTTTTTTTTTTTTTAATTGTGACAGGTAGTGGGGAGAAGATCCCCTGCTAGCTGTTAATGTGGGGAGCTGGGGCCTGTCTGATCATAACATATTACTCCCTGAATATGGGTGTAACATGTTACGTAAGGTGAACTTATCCTTTAATTTTTTCACTGTTCTTTTTGTCTTTTTTGAGACAAAAAGGAAGTGGAAATCCAAATTGTCAGCAGAGGGTGAGGGTTAATCACCGAATTAGGAACAATGTGACAACAGTCTAAGATGGAAATTGCCCTGATTTTGAGGACGTGTCCTCTTTATTTCCTGTTGTGTCTCCAGGAGAGCAAATGAAGGACACAGTAAAAAACAAAAAACTTGATACTTCGCCTATATTTGCTAATATAGTATTTACCTTTTTAAAGCATTATTATACAGACTAGTGTAAAAGTTGTCTCCTTTTTTTTTTTTTTTTTTTTTTTTTTTTTTTTGTAGTTTTACTTGGATAGCTCTTAGCTGTGATTTTAAAAACATTTTGGTTAACACTGCTGCTTTTGCTTTGCAGTTAATACTAAAGGATGTGGATTCGTTATTGTATGTCGACACGGACATACTATTCTTGCGTCCTATGGATGATATTTGGTCTTTCTTGAAGGAGTTCAATTCTACTCAAATTGCTGCTATGGCCCCTGAACATGAAGAGCCCCGCATAGGATGGTATAACCGCTTTGCTCGGCATCCATATTACGGAAAGACTGGCATTAACTCTGGAGTTATGTTAATGAACATGACTCGTATTCGAATGAAACACTTTAAGGCAAGTATAGGTGTTGTTTCTGAGATTTCTCCTGAACTGAAATAAGTATCCCTGGTCACTGTCTCATTAAGTTTCCTTATTGTTACTGGAACTTGCTGAAAAGGTAACTTGTATAGAAAACTGAAGATTGATTTGAAGCCCAGGAATTGTAAATAGGAAGAGTATTTGTTGGGTGTATAGGACGTTGTATATGCATCTTGTTCAGTGTAAAAATCTAAAATTGTTGCGCTGTGTAACTTGGTGCTCCCGATCTATACTTCCTTAACCACTTACCTACTGGGCACTTTGCCAATTTTCAGCAGTCAGCTCTGTCTCACATTGAAATGACAACTGCGCAGTCATGCAACACTGTACCTAAACTAAATTTATATCATTTTTTTTTGAGACCGATATAGCTTTCTTTTGGTGGTATTTAATCACCACTGGGTGTATTTTTTGGCACTGATATACTGCACTGATGGATATTGACAGGAATCAGTGATATGTGGCACTGATGGTCTGACGGGCACTGATATGTGGCACTGATGGGCATTGACGGCCCTCACTGGTATGGGGCATTGGTGGGCACTGATATGGGGGCATTGGTGGGCACTGATTGGCGGCAGTGGTGGAACTCAGTGCCCTGATTATCAGTGTAGATGTCCCCTCTGAGGAATACCGCTTACCGGCTCTCCTCATGCCCTGTCACCGTGAGGAGAGGACAGGCATTAGTTAGCATTTCCTGTTTACATGTGATCAGCTGTGATTGGACACAGCTGATCACATGGTAGCGCCTTCATCATTGGCTCTTTACAGTGATTGGCGATCTGTTGTGTCCGTGGGACACAGCGCACCACTGATCGCCGCACACCCCTGGGAGTGCACATGCACAGCTAGAGCGAGAGGACGTCATATGACTCCCTCTCAGAACAAGAGAGCTCCCACCTGTCGGTCATTCCCTCATATGGTGGGCGGGAGGTGGTTAAAGTAATCTTAAATTAATCCATTCAAACGTTCATAAATATACTAATCAGCTCATCCCCCACAGTTATTATCTTCTGTATCACTTGACCCTCCCCTTTTAGAGTATAAGCTCTAATGAGCAGGGCCCTCTGATTCCTCCTGTATTCAATAGTATTGTAAGTGTACTGTTTTCCCTCACATTGTAAAGCGCTGCGCAAACTGTTGGCGCTATATAAATCCTGTATAATAAAAATTAGTCCATAAAGTAAAAAATTATACCATCAATTATCTGTTAAACCAAGTGTCCATAATATCCTAGATAAGACCCAGTGCATTGTGAATCCACTACCTGCACACACAGCCTCTTATCGAATTGTCAGACCCCAAATTATAGGTGTTTTAACATAGATTTTCACCCAGATCATCCGACAGAGAAATGCATGCAGCACTAATATCTCCTCCTGGTCTTTGTATGACTCTGCATGAAAGAGATATCTCCAATAGTGAAGTACCATCAAAAGTTTATTCCTACAAGGCAAGAAACTACTTACAATACATCTTCAAAACAAGCGCATGTAGTGTATAACGCCGCTGGTACTGCCTCCAGCAAAGCATGGGTGACGTTAGCACAAACTCCATCCCACCCTGAAGTATGTTGTGTCTCAACAGATGTTGTCAAGGGGATCAGTTCTGTGCAGCACAACTAATAATTTGAATATTCATCAGAACCCAGGACAGTAAGAATGGCATTTGCACACAATTTGTCCTGTTTACAGTTTTTGTCACTTGCAAAACTGCCATTTACTTGCAGTCATTCGAGTGGTAGCATTTACCAACCGAAAATAACGTTTGGCAAGGTTTTGGGCATGTAGCTACTTTTCTGGATGCAGACGGATTCCTGTCAGTACTGAACAACCACATAGACTTGTTGGGGGATGTATCTCTTTTCCTTCCACTGAGGTGAAACCTGTGTAGTATTTTTCTTCATGCACCTATTGAAGAGACAAGTTTTTAAGTGTATGTAAGCCAAAACTTTTTTTTTTTTTTTTTCCTCCTTTTTAGTTTAGTATGGAATTTGCCAAACTATTGCGGTTTATTTGCTGCCTGCGTACCCTCTGGGGAAGTTCTTCATCATTCGTCCTGGTGATCACAATATCTACTAAAGAAAGCGATTTGAAATCCAAAAATGTTAGTTGTCACAGGGTACAGAAGGCGGAAATCTTCCTGTGAGGACACCTGATCTGCAGGTTACTGTCAACGGATTTACCCTCACTTAAGAGAGTTTTAAGTTTTTCTTCTCATTTGCTGTTGTGTCTTTAGGACTGGAAGTGAAAGGAAACCTCCCAACGGGGCAAAGAAAAAAAAAAAAATTAGACAGGGTTCTTACACCTTACATTTGTTAAAGCAGAACTCCGGGCAAAATTTTAATTTTGACATGCAGTGGGGCTGTGCTGCTTGTTTTGTGCAGGGGTGCAAGTAAAAGCTATACTTACCTGATCCTCCACAAAAACCAGGTTCCCATGTCCAGCATTGGACTGTTCCCGTCGTTCTCATGTACAGAGCCAGTCTATGTGCATGATGAAATCAAGAACAGTCCATTCGCAAGACCCCTAGGGTGTGCAGGAGCAGCAGGGACTGATCTTTCGCACTACTGCATGGGCATGGGAAATATATAAAAAAAATTGACCTACCAGTAATTTGAGATTGCTCAATGAAATTTGAGTGTACACCATAAAATAATTTGATGGTCACACTACAAAGTCTTCTGGCTACTTTATTATTAGGAAGTTGCATTCTATCTCTTGAGCTCCTGCTAATATGCTTTACCCATTGTTGGGCCTAGTCATAGAATTGAGAAACGCAATGTACAAATATGTTTCAGTTGATGTGGACATGCATAATACTCTGTTAGCATCTGTATTGGGGAGGTGGAACTGATTTGAGACCTACAGTGGAGCATTGTGGGATGTATTAGTAGTACTCATCACAACAGGTCATTTAAAAGCATCTAGAGTGAAAAGTATGCATGACATGACTATTAGTCAGTTGACTGACTTGTGACTGGCAGGTGCTAGATATCCATGAAACTAGGTCAAACAACAAAATAGTTTTTGAAGCAGTAGACCAATGTTTACAATGGGCTGCCGTTTATTTAACCACTTGACATCTGAAGGTTTTACCCCCTTCGTGATCAGGGCATTTTTTGCTGTTCAGCACTGTGCTACTTTAACTGGCAATTGCTCGGTCATGCAACATTGTACCCAGATGAAATTTACATAAATTTTTTTTTTCACACAAACAGTGCTTTCTTTTGGTGTTATTTACTCACCAAGGGGTTTTTTTTTTTTTTGCTATATAAATAAAAGTAAATGTTGAAAACACGTTTTCCTTAGTTTGTAAGCCAAAATATATTTTACTACACTTCTTTGGTAAAAAAAAACAATAACCCAAATCAGTGTATATTCTTTAGTCTGTGTGAAAGTTAGTCTGCACACTATGGTATACAGCGGGTAAAATAAGTATTGAACACGTCACCGTTTTTCTCAGTAAATGTATTTTTAAAGGTGCTATTGACATGAAATGTTCACCACATGTCAGTAACAACCCATAAAATCCATACATACAAAGAAACTAAAACAAATATGTTCAGAACTTGTCGTGTAATAAAATGGAATGACACAGGAAAAAAGTATTGAACACACGAACTGAAATGTATTTAATACTTTGTACAAAATCCTTTGTTGGTAATGACAGCTTCAAGACACCTCCTGTATGGAGAAACTAGTCGCATGCATTGCTCAGGTGTGATTTTGGCCCAACCTTCCACACAAACAGACTTCAATTCTTGAGGATTCCGTGGGCTTCATATATGATCTCTGATCTTTAGTTCTTTCCATAGATTTTTTTTATTGTATTCAAGTCAGGTGATTAGCTGGGCCATTCTAGAAGCTTTATTTTCTTTCTTTGAAACCAGTTGAGTTTCCTTGGTTTTGTGTTTGGGACCATTGTCTTTCTGAAATGTCCACCCTTGTTTCATCTTCATCATTCTGGTAGATGGCAGCAGACTTTTATCAAGAATGTCTTGGTATATTTTTCCATTCATCCTTCCTTCAATGACATGAAGTTTTCCAGTACCGTGTGCTGAAAAACAGCCCCACCCCATGATGTTCCCACCTCCAAACTTCATTGTTGGTATGGTGTTTTTGGGGTGATGTGCAATGCCATTTGACCTTCAAACATGGTGTGTATGATGGCATCCAAAGAGTTCAATTTTGGTCTCATCTGGCCAGACTGTATTCTTTCAGTATTTCACAGGCTTGTCTAAATGTTGTGCAGCAAAGTTTAAATGAGTTTCAGCATGCTTTTTCTTCAGCAGTGGAGTCTTATGTGATGAGCGTGCATACAGACAATGGAGGCTGAGTGCATTACTTATTGTTTTCTTTAAAACAATTGTACCTGCTAATTCCAGGTCTTTCTGAAGCTCTCCACAAGTGATCCTTGGCTCTTGGACAACTCTTCTGGTAATTCTTTTTACTCCTCTGTCAGAAATTTTGCTAGGAGCACCTGGTCGTGTCTGGTTTATGGTGAAATGATGCTCTTTCCACTTCTGGATTATGGCCCTAACAGTGCTCACTGGAACATTCGGAAGTTTAGAAATCCTTCTGTAACCAATGCCATCAGTATGTTTTGCAAAAATAAGGTTGCGAAGGTCTTGAGAGAGCTCTATGCTTTTACCCATCATGAGATTTTTCTTGTGTGACACCTTGGTAATAAGACAATTTGCACTGACAAGGGGCAGGATTGCTTTCTTAATTACTGATAGATTTCAGCTGGTGTCTTGGCTTTCCATGCCTCTTTTTTTGCACCTCCCTTTCTTCATGTATTCAATACTTTTTCCCTGTGTCATTCCATGTTATTACACATAACTGAACTTTTTTGTTTTGGTTTCTTTGCATGTATGGATTGCATGGGTTGTTACCGACATGTGGTGAAAATTTCATGTTAATAGCACCTTTTAAAAATATATTTACCAAGAAAAAGGTGACGTGTTCAATACTTACCGTATTTTTCGCTCCATAAGACGCACTTTTTTCCCCAAAAAAAAGGGGGGAAAATGTCAGTGCGTCTTATGGAGCGAATATGGAGCGGCCGGTCCGGTATTTCCACTGCCGCCGTGTCAGAATACCGGGCCGGCAGCTCAGCTCTACAGCGGGACCTTATAGAGATGAGTGCTGACCTTTGGGGAGGGAGGGGGAGCGGGTACCTGAATTTGACAGGTACCCGCTCCCACTTCCGTGGAGTTGTCCTTTCATCTTACCCGTTCCTCTATCCAGCGGCGCGGTCTTCCCGGCTTCTGTAGTGTGGGCATGACAGCCGGTTGCCAAGTGCGCATGCGCAAGAAGCGGTGCTTTTTGTGAATGGTAAGGCGGCACCTGGGACACATGACAGATCCCAGAAGCCGCCGGACCAATCACAAAGCGCAAGTGCTTCTCGCTCATGCGCACTGGGCACCCGGCTGTCATGCCGAGAGCCATTACAGAAGCCGGGAAGACAGCGCGCGACTGGATAGAGGAACAGGTAAGATGAAAGGACAACTCCGCGGAAGTGGGAGCAGGTACCTGTCAAATTCAGGTACCCGCTCCCCCCCTCCCCAAAGGTCAGCAGCCATCCCCTGTACTATCCACAGTCTCTGGTCATCCCTCTACTGTCCGCAGTCTCTGGTCATCCCTGTACTGTGTCCGCAGTCTCTGGTCATCTCCTGTACTGTGTCTGCAGTCTCTGGTCATCTCTGTGCTGTCTGCAGTCTCTGGTCATCTCCTGTACTGTGTCCGCAGTCTCTGGTCATCCCTGTGCTGTCCGCAGTCTCTGGTCATCCCTGTACTGTGTCCGCAGTCTCTGGTCATCTCCTGTACTGTGTCTGCAGTCTCTGGTCATCTCTGTGCTGTCTGCAGTCTCTGGTCATCTCCTGTACTGTGTCCGCAGTCTCTGGTCTGTGTCTGTCCGCAGTCTCTGGTCATCCCTGTGCTGTCCGCAGTCTCTGGTCATCCCTGTGCTGTCCGCAGTCTCTGGTCATCCCTGTGCTGTCCACTGTCTCTGGTCATCCCTGTGCTGTCCGCAGTCTCTGGTCATCCCTGTGCTGTCCGCAGTCTCTGGTCATCCCTGTGCTGTCCGCAGTCTCTGGTCATCCCTGTGCTGTCCGCAGTCTCTGGTCATCTCCTGTACTGTGTCCGCAGTCCTGGTCATCTGTGTGTCCGCAGTCTCTGGTCATCTCCTGTACTGTGTCCGCAGTCTCTGGTCATCTCCTGTACTGTGTCCGCAGTCTCTGTCTCCTGTACTGTGTCCGCAGTCTCTGGTCATCTCCTGTACTGTGTCCGCAGTCTCTGGTCATCTCCTGTACTGTGTCCGCAGTCTCTGGTCATCTCCTGTACTGTGTCCGCAGTCTCTGGTCATCTCCTGTACTGTGTCCGCAGTCTCTGGTCATCTCCTGTACTGTGTCCGCAGTCTCTGGTGTCATCTCCTGTCATCTCCTGTACTGTGTCCGCAGTCTCTGGTCATCTCCTGTACTGTGTCCGCAGTCTCTGGTCTCTCCTGTACTGTGTCCGCAGTCTCTGGTCATCTCCTGTACTGTGTCCGCAGTCTCTGGTCATCTCCTGTACTGTGTCCGCAGTCTCTGGTCATCTCCTGTACTGTGTCCGCAGTCTCTGGTCATCTCCTGTACTGTGTCCGCAGTCTCTGGTCATCTCCTGTACTGTGTCCGCAGTCTCTGGTCATCTCCTGTACTGTGTCCGCAGTCTCTGGTCATCTCCTGTACTGTGTCCGCAGTCTCTGGTCATCTCCTGTACTGTGTCCGCAGTCTCTGGTCATCTCCTGTACTGTGTCCGCAGTCTCTGGTCATCTCCTGTACTGTGTCCGCAGTCTCTGGTCATCTCCTGTACTGTGTCCGCAGTCTCTGGTCATCTCCTGTACTGTGTCCGCAGTCTCTGGTCATCTCCTGTACTGTGTCCGCAGTCTCTGGTCATCTCCTGTACTGTGTCCGCAGTCTCTGGTCATCTCCTGTACTGTGTCCGCAGTCTCTCTCTGGTCATCTCCTGTACTGTGTCCGCAGTCTCTGGTCATCTCCTGTACTGTGTCCGCAGTCTCTGGTCATCTCCTGTACTGTGTCCGCAGTCTCTGGTCATCTCCTGTACTGTGTCCGCAGTCTCTGGTCATCTCCTGTACTGTGTCCGCAGTCTCTGGTCATCTCCTGTACTGTGTCCGCAGTCTCTGGTCATCTCCTGGTGTCCGCATCTCTGGTCATCTCCTGTACTGTGTCCGCAGTCTCTGGTCATCTCCTGTACTGTGTCCGCAGTCTCTGGTCATCGCCTGTACTGTGTCCCTGTGTCCGCAGTCTCTGGTCATCGCCTGTACTGTGTCCGCAGTCTCTGGTCATCGCCTGTACTGTGTCCGCAGTCTCTGGTCATCTCCTGTACTGTGTCCGCAGTCTCTGGTCATCTCCTGTACTGTGTCCGCAGTCATCTCCTGTACTGTGTCAGTCTCCCTGTACTTCTGCCTGTCCGCAGGTGCTCTGGTCATCTCCGGTATTTTACCCTCTTCTGATCAGTCCTGTACTCATCTCTTTTCTTAATGCCCTAAAATACCAGGATGGTACAAATACTCCCCAAATGACCCATTTTTGGAAAGTAGTCTAAGGTATTTAGTAAGAGGCATAGCGAGTTTTTTTTTTATTTTTTTTTTTTTTTTTGTCACAATTTTTTGGAAAATGAAGAAGTTACATGAAACTTTTTTTTTTTTTTTCTTTTCATACTGTCACCAGTGCAATATAGCATTGTCTTTTGAAAATAATTTTATTATAGTATAGATAGGAGCAGAGAATCAGTCAAAAACGGATTCATTGACCAACAGGAATAAGACATACAAGGTGTTCAATGAATATTACAGACTATGTACTGATGGAGAGGTGCCGTATAGCATTGTCATATGACTGGCGTGTCAGTGATCAGGGATATTGACTATAGACAGTCAATAAAAGAAAAAAAGCTACAACTTTTATAAAATTTAAATTTTTTTTTTTTTTACATACTTTCATCAGAGCAGTTCACCACAGTGACACTGTACTACTCTGGGGGGGTTTAGGGATGGTTTTTTTTTTTTTTTTTTTACACGCTTGCTTACAACAGGGATGATCACCATTATAAGCTGTAGTTTTACCTGTCATGAATTAATCAAATTCATTACATTTTGCAAACTGTTGTGATCACATGGACCAGAGTGCTGTGATTGTCCCAGGTACCATGTGATGACTTGTGGCCAATCAGAGATCACAACAGTAAGCAAAATGTAATGAAAGCCATTTTGTGACAGTTTGCTTACAAGTTATCATGTGATTGGACATGGTATCCCGGCTGCTACAGAAAGAATGGTCAGCCGCACACCGGAGAATAGATGAATAAGTTAAACAAGTCCTGTATTCATGTCCTGGTGTTTTGTGTGTCCTATGGAATAATAAATACACACTATATTCATCTATCCTCCGGTGTGCGGCTGACCCTTCTTTCTGTTGCATCGTGTTGGTGGGGAACCAGAGCCTGCACCTGTCGTGGATTGATCTGGATTGTTTGCCTGAGCGGTATACCTTTTGTTCCTTGGATTCATCCCGGTTGCTCACAGCAGTCAGGGATCACACCGCTGCACGCCCAAGGGTGTGCACATGTGCTCAGCAAAGTACCTGGACATCGCTAAACCTGAAGCTGTCACCTGCTAGCAGTAAATCTACTGCTAGGGGGCAGCAAGTGGTTTAAAAAAAAATTGGTTGCATGCTAGTGTGCTTGAACATTTCTCTGTTCTTGCCACAGTTCACTTTTCTCAGTGGTTCTGCAGATGTTCAGTAATCCAGATGATCCTTGCACTTTATTGTATTTTCTGGCATAAGCAAAATGTATAAAGAGCAATTCTATGAATTTCAGTATAATCGTTTCACACCAATGCGTGATGTTACATTTGAAAGAAGTCTCACATGCTGTGCTTTGCATTTAGCTGCCGTTTTCCTTTTCATTCAGCAAAATTCCTTTATAAATGCAGCACATCTAAAACACACCAGTTTAGGTGTTCTATTGAGAATACACTTTCAGTTTTGTTAAAAGCACTTATTTTTTATTCACCTTGCTGATGAAAGAACTGTAACTAAATATTTAACTGTGTAGTTAATGGGAATGACCAGAAGGTGGTGCTGTGAGAACATATCATGATTCATGTCCTTGCAACCATTATGAACACTGCATGTTTAGTGTTAAGTTGGTAGATAGAGGTCTAATATGCTTGATGAGCATTGTATCATTACATTAGCTGGAAGTGAACACATTGCTTCGTACATATATATAGTCCAACCCTTTCATTTAACTTCCTTAACTTATTTTAGTGGTACCTTTGATTGCTTGGGCACACATTGTGCTTGTAGCCTAATATACTTTTACTTAGCAGTATAAATATGCAGATGTCTGTCAGTGTCATTAAAATTAAAACATTCAACTTGACATGGCAATGAGGTGAGGAATTTTTCCTGACATTCTGTGGTCACAGAAACGCACATTGTGATATGGGTTTTGCTGATCAGTGACGCAGCTCCAGTGTTTTAAGGAGATGCTACGGGTTTAGACTTAACCTCTTTAGGAAACTGTGATGTGCTTCGCTATATGTTTTAAAGGGTAAGTCCACCTTTTGCAAAATATAATAAATGCACCCACATTTACAGAAAAAGTACATTTATTATTTTTTTGCATATGAGCCTGAAAAGCATTGCAACCACGATCATGAGATCTTGGTTGCAATGCACAGGCTCCTGCAGACTTTTCCTGCAGCTGTATGTATGTACAAAGGTGCTGACTTTGGTTACTGAGCTAGAGGAAGAATCAATGGACTACAAGTGCAATAATCACCGCACTTGTGTTTCATTGATAAATACAAGACCAAGAAGAATTGTACTTTATTCATTCGCAGATCCCTGTGAATGAATGGACTGTGTGGAGATCCCTGTGAATGAATGGACTGTGTGGACTGAGCCACACTAAATTCAAAAAGTTAAAGGAACTGTCAAGGATTAGGACCCTGCAAATCTGGGGGTGAGTGCTTGCTGCCTTGTTACATGTTGCATCCTAAATATGGGTGGAAAAGGTGAACTTAGCCTTTAATATATTGATATTTAATAAATATAGACAACTTCTTAATAAAAAAAAAATATTTATATGAATATGCCTCTTTTAATTTTCATTTGCAGAATGACATGACAACAGTTCGTCTGCACTGGGAGAAATCCTTATGCCATTGCTGAAAAAGTACAAGTTAAATATCACTTGGGGAGATCAGGATCTACTTAATATTATCTTCTCTCACAACCCAGGTACTTGCTTTTAGATATTTATATTTTTCTCTGAAATTCCATTTTTACATTTGTAGTTCCTGGCTAAAACTAAAGCCTGTTACTTTCTAGTTCTTTTTGTTCTGTTTTGAGAAGTGTTGTGCTACTGGTATCATACACATATTTGAAGTTTTGTTTATTTCAGCATAGATCTGGCATTAGGATTTGATTAACAAAAAAAAAAAATGAAAACAAATTCGGTCATATTTTAAATTTTTTTGGCCATTTTTTTTTTTAAAATGAATAATTTGAATCCAGTCATATTTGACCAAATTGATATTTTTTTTTTTTAAACGGTCATTTGCTGTGATGGGATCTGCAATGAATCTAAATGTATTCATATTGTGTATGGCTGAAACTGAATGTCAGACCTGCCAGCATCACATATTCAACTTTATTCACTACCCTGCTACTACAGCATTCTGCCAAAAACAAAAATACTTAGTACTTCAGATGTGGGGACACGGTAACTTCCCCTACTCTTTTTTTTCCTTGTGAGGTGATTGGTAGCTCAGGTATTCCATGCTGTATCATGGCGATAGGGAAAGAATGTTCAGCCCCATGTGAGCTCTAAGTCATGATTCTTTGCTGCCCACCAGTAGAGTAGAAAAGCCAGTTTTTACATTAGAGAGATCAAACGTAGAACACATTCTATGATAGCTGTTTGAGCTCAAAGTGATATTAAAGGCTCGTGTTTAAAAAAACAAAAAGCAAATATGTCATACTTGCCTGAAGCTGGAGCAAATTGGATCATGCTTTATTGGGTCTTTTTGCCTTCCTCTGGGCGAACTGTGGGTATTGGATAGTGTATATGGGGTGTTTTCTATTTGTGGTTTTATTGCTTGTTTTTTTTTTCCTCTATCGGTTGAAATGGACGGACTTGTGTCTTTTTTTTTCAGCCAGATTAACTATGTAACCTGCTCTGGCTAGTGCTGCAGGTCCCCCCCCCCCCCCCCCACCGAGGCCCACCTTGTGTGAGAGCAGCTCAGACCTGCTCATTCATCACTGGCCATGATTGAGAGCAGTGGGAGCCAATGGCTTCTGCTGCTGTCTCAATGAGGAGAGAGAGAGACCTGAGAAAGCTATGGCTCCTGTGCACATCATTGGGTCAAGGTCAGGCTCAGGTACGTATTAGGAGAGGCTGTGAGGGGAACAGCACAAATAGGGTTTTTTTACCTTCATGCGTAGAATGCATGAAGATTAAAAAAACCTTCAACCCTTAGAACTACTTTAATCCAACAGGCCAAGCTCTTGATTCTGTTGGTGGTAGGTATAAAGGTTTGTTTCAAACGTATGTGTTTTTCAGTGTTTTTGTATTTGCTATGAAACTTCACTAAAATAAGGTGCCTATTGTACACTTCAATACTTCAATAAGCAGCACATCTAATATATGCAGTATTGTACACTTCAATACTGCATACATTAGATGTGCTGCGTATACAGTATATCCTATAGAAATTAGACATTTCCACCTGGGATGAACCTGTGTAAAGCTGAATTAGCACTGGGGGCTTTTCTCTTTCTTTCTTCTGTCCAAACTACATTATAATGAAATAAAATAAAGTGCAAAATTAAAAAGGTACATCTTATGGTTTTTGGTTTTTGTTTTTTTTTATCTCTGTACATTATCTTTTATGGTAGCAATGGTTTATTCCTTGTTAGCAAATACTAACTATGACTTTAATTTTTTCATCTGCTTATTACTTTGTTGTGCCGTTGCTTAATGAAGCATTGCATCCATGTGTCTCATTCTCTAATGATCAGCTTGTTCAGTAGCTTAGCGCCAATTCTGCTTTCAGCTTGTTTTTGTTTTTAATTCAGAAAGCCTTTACATCTTCCCGTGTCAGTGGAATTATCGTCCTGATCACTGCATCTATGGAAGTAATTGTAAAGAAGCTGAAGATGGTATTTTTATTTTACATGGGAACAGAGGAGTGTACCATGACGATAAACAGCCAGCCTTTAGAGCGGTGTATGAAGCACTACGTAATGTAAGACACAATATCTGATCTTGTTTGACTTGCACTAAACAAGCTTTTTATTTCTGTATAAAAAATATACACGTGCATAGTATAGCAGCAGATAATGATACATGACAAATTGACAGTCTTCTTTTCAAAACTTCTAGGGATTCTGATCAGTGAAACATCTTTTTTAAAGGACAAATTCAACTATTATGCAAAAAAAACAAACCCTCTCACCCCCAAAATATACTATACTATGCTTCTTGGTTACTTACTCAATTTCCCTGATAGCAGCAGCCTCCTATTTTGTCAACATCGTGGACCGTAAAAATATAGTGGCAGGCTCCGCCTGCCTCTACATGCTAACAACTTAGACATAAATGGAACAGTAACGTATTGCGGGAGTAAAGTCCTATTTAAGTTAATGGACAATTGGCGGACAGTTGCAAACAGCCCAGCACTCGATTTTCACTGGCTGGGATATGGACAGGTTGAGAGGCCAAAACCATCATCAAAGGAGAGAGGGTAAATGGGGTCAGCTCAGTGTTTTTAGGAGGCTAGGGAAGGGGTCTGTTGTGTGTCTTTTTTTTTTTTTTTTTTTTTTTTTTTTTTACATTCACATAGCAGTTCATCTGTGGCAAGGGGCAGCCACTGACAAGGATCAGTAGACTCTTGTCGGTGGTTGTAAACACTGCTTGCACACACTGTGTGAACAGCTGCAACTGTCAGATTTTTTTTACAAACCTGTGGCTGGCACTGCCGCTGTTCGCATATAACCACTTTCTGCTGACCCTGTACACTGCCAGTGTGCATCCTGGGTTGGCGTTTCTGCAGAGTTTTGGCCACGCACAAAATGAGCACCACTAATCAGCAAGCCTGTATGTGGCCATAGCACAGAGTGTTGCTGCGTCCAGGGAGGTGGACTCTGCTCTGAAAGCATCAAACTTATCACAGATAGTGGATTTATGTGAATGTAGCCCAAGGTTACCTGCACACAAATGTAATAGGGCATAAAATATGTCTAGTGTATAACAAAAAAAAACAACAAACCAAACAAGTCTTCCGACAGCTGGAGATGGTGCCTACAGCCGGCCATAAAAGTGACTGTACACCCTGTACTCTTTTAAAAACCGATTCTTGTTTTCTTGAGCATTTACCCACCCATATGTGTACAACTTATTTTACTGAACACGTTTCTGAAATTATGTTATATGCCTATGCAGAGGTAAGCGCCAATGTAAAAAAGCATTGGTGTTGACACAAATACAGGGGCCTATTGTCATTCACTTCTTTGGCTGGCTGTACACACAAATTGTGGTTCCCTAGCTACGACAAAACAATATCTCTTTACGCTAGGCATATTTCTTCGCCTAATTTCATCCATGTAAGGCCTTCAAGTGAATCCATGAATACAGAAATACGAGCTTACCATTACTGATTTTGTTTTTTTGGCTTCACCACATAGTGACTCGCTGACCTCAAACAATAATGCAAAATGAATGTTTACAGACTTCAGAGTTGTACTGCATGTTTGAAAACAAGGTCTCAGCAGTGGCCACTACCATATTTCCTCACAAGTTCACTTAAAGAGAACCAGTCACAGTTGTGTTTAAGCCTGTTTAGATTACTCTATAAAGTAAATACTCACAACAGTAAAATCAGTCTGTATATGCTGTAAACTATGCTTGTTATACTCTCTGTGGAATTTAAGAGGTTAATCCTCTGCATTGTGTAAAAAGGCCATTTGATCCCAACTTCTGTGTTCCTCTTGTTCAAATGTCCACGTCTTATCTCCTGATAAGGCAGACTGAACTGTAGCCATTCTGTACATGCTTAGTTTAGTGTATATTGCTGGAGAGGTTTTTTTTTTCTTTTTTGGCAGAGTGCATGCGATCAGCACAGGGCCAATCAGCTCTGTTCAGACAGAGGTCAGGGGTTTTGCATCCTCCTAGAGCAGAATGAAAACTCCTACAAGCTTTGACCAGTAGTCTACTGAACACTGATAGAAGTCACAAGACTGTTCTAACTGCTGATGAGAAAAGATATTTAGCAGTTTATATTTACTAAAATAATTTCACTTCCATGTTCTGTGTACTGTAGGAGACCAGATATAGTGAGTGCAGGGTCCTGGGTTTAGTAACACTTTAAATAGTAAAGAATACTTCTGCAGGCTTGCTTATGAAAGATTTGTTCCCTCTTTTTTTCAGCTTTATTAGTTTGAGTTAGAGGTGAAAGGTTTCCTGAGATATTACAGTTGTTGTCCTATACATTCTCTGAATTATTTCTGACAAGTTTGCCAGCTCTTACAATAATGGCATATGCACATTTATTTTGAAGGCATAATTAATCCAAAAGATAATTTAGCTTTTTTAGCTGCAGGCACATCACTTAGGTTCAATAAAGTATGCCCCACATCTGTCAGCTATAAGAGCAAAATTATTTGTCTGTTCTGTGATACTATTATGTACAGTGCAGTGTCCATTTGCAACACCTTAACACACACTATTTTCATTACCTTATGTCAGTTTCTCAAGAAAAAAAAAAAAAGACTGACAATTTTGAGAAAACAAAAATTATTTTTTACTTTTTGCTATTAAACATGTCCAGTAAAAAAAATTTAATCAATTTTCGTCATAAATTTAAACCAAAATATATTCTGCAACATGCCTTTGATGCAATTTGCATATGGTGGTATATATACACTGGGATTTATTTTTTTTATTACTAGTAACTAGTAATCAGCGACTTATAGCGAGACTGCGGCGGACATTCTGACACTGACATCACCAGTGACACCAATACAGTGATCAGTGCTAAAAAAAAAAAGCACTTCACACTGTACTAATGACACTGGACAGGAAGGGGTTAACATGAGGGCGATCAAATGGTTAACTGTGGGCTGGGTGTGTTTTACTATGGGGCAGTGTCTGTGTGCTTTACGGTAAGCACACTGCTTTGGATGGCTGTGCTGTGAACAGCCATCCAAGACAGAGTGCCAGAGCTGAGCGGGAGGAGAACTGTTAGTAAACATAAGTTACAGTTCTCCTCCCCATTAAAGATCCTCGGTAATCAACGGCCAGGACCCGGTGATTGACTGCCGCGAATGGCGGCACGGGTGAGGCGCGCCCCCTACCGGGAAATGCAAAAACACACACAGATACACGATTTTGAGCACCCGTGCCGCCCTGTAGCAGTATTTCTGCTATAGGGCTATTGGGAAGCGGTTAAAAGTATTTTCATTCTCAAGAAATTCCAGTCTAAAAAGCAGTGCTGTGCTGCTAGCTTAGAAAAGTAGTTTTGATCACACAGAGTGTAGGGTTCAGAGGTGTAAGGGTCAAGAGTAAGGCCTTTATATGCGGGCATACGTAAGTGTACACCAGTGCAAGGGCTATTTTTGCCTATCTGGGGATGCACAGGTGTTTTTGTGCATCCCTGTGCAGGCAGTCCCATTCATGTCAAACTGTGTCAGTGCAACCCCTACTCCTAATTTGACATTTGTATGGGGGTGTTTCTCAAACTCACACTGTTTACTTTTGGGGACTCACACAGATGTCAAATTGGGAGCAGCGGCTGTGTCCATGCAATCGCTGCATCCCTATTGACATGAATGGGACTATCTGCACGGGGATGCATGGAAGACTTGTGTATCCCTGTGCAAAAAAAATAAAAACCATGTCCCTTGTTTCAGGTGTATGCTTAAGATCCTGGTTGCACTGGGTGCGACTTGGCATGCGATTTGCAAATGGCATGCCAAGTTGCAGCCTATTGTCTGCAATTACAGTGGTCATATTGGTGTGGTTCCAACTTGGTCGGAGTCGCACCGATTTCTAAAGAAGTATTTCAGTCGACACAAACAGAGCTACGTTTGGGAAGCAGCAGTATAGGAATTAGGAATTAAGCTGTAATTGCTTAGTAAGTCTGACTCGTAGCTTGTGTGGGAACAGTGGGCACACCAACCTTGTGCATTACTTTTTTGTTATAGCTTTATTCGTCTTAATAAAACAGATGTATACTCGTAAAACATCAGTAATCATTCATATTCAAGTCCACAATGTACTTAAACCAACCTGGTCACTTAGACAATTTCTGAACGCAAGAAGACCCTCCAAAAGGCTGACACGTTTCGAGGGTAGATCCCCTCTTCCGCAGGGCTCTGAGGAAGAGATCTCTCTTTAAACCGTGTTTTGCCAGTGCACTTCTCTTGAGCACGAGATTGGTCGTTTTTTTTTTTTTTTTTTGTATCACTGTGCGTGTTGAATCTCTAAAGTGAACCACTTATATGGCGCACAGAAATTTAACATCTGCACCAACTTGATCAAGGAAATTCTTACATTGCAGTTGACCCACAGATGCCGTCTCCTTGGGATTACGTGTATCTGTTTCCATCTGTGTCCATTCCTCAACTAGATGTGTATAAGCGCCAACTCCTATGTACTAAGACTCTCTAGGGAAACTGTCTTTGTCATTTCATGTAGGTTTGCAGTTTGGGAATATCGTCATAGCATAGCCTGGTTATTTGCCAACTTTCCCAGAGGTTATTACATCAAATATATGCATGGTTTCAGCCAAGCAGATCTAATTTCTTTCTTTCAGGCTACAAATAAGCCTTCTAATAAACAATTTATTACTTGTAAACCCACGGAAGAGCTGTAAAATGTGTTGGCACTCATTGTAATATAAGAGACTGACTTGTATATAACCTTCAAAAATCAATACTATATTTTACTGGCTGTCATGTGGAAGTAAAAATGAAAGAGAGGACTTTTGGGGATGTGAGATTGCTCTGCACTCACTCAGATTGATCCCATAAAATCTTTTTTTCCCAATTGTTCTTTTGTATATAGATCTGTCCTTCTCATGTCATTCTTCAAGCTAGACAGTTTGATACCATTTGCAGAGAACTCTTTGATATAATATAATATATATTTTTTTTATATATATATATATATATATATATATATATATATATATATATATATATTATGCAGACCCACTTCACTTTTTTCAATTTTATGTTGCAGCCTGAT